TTTTGCTGTCTGTTGGGAGAGAGAGGGGAGGGGGGGGAGATGGAGAGAGACAAAGAGATTGGTGGAAGGTGTTAGATGGAGTTAAGAAAGAACAAAAATAGTGGAATGGGTAGGGGGGAGAGGTGACTTGTGATGGGAAAGAGGAAGAAATTGGAAAAAGAACCCTCTCTCCCCGCCCCTCCACGAAATTCTGATATGAGATTGTGTGAGGAGTAATGTTCAAATGTCCTTATCTGTCCATCCTATTGTTCCCAGGGGTCGTTACGAACTCCAGCCCAAAGCCACTGTGGGCCGGTCGGTGGTCAACGGGCCTAAGCTGGTCGTGGAGATAATGGCTGACCCGAACAAGCCAGTCAAGATGGACGTTGTCTATAACGAGAAGACGTCGGTCATTGCTGGACACACGCTGGCAGGTAGGGAGAGATGCGGGAGGTTGGAGGGCGCTGCCTGGGGTTCTACTTTTTCTATGTTTTGTCCACCTGTGTTTCTGTCTGTCTGTCTGTCTGTCTGTCTTGCTTTTTCCCGGATTCAGATCAGAGATGTCGAACTTCTGGATAAATTAAAAATTCCAGATTCCTGAAATTGTCTTAATTTTTGCCTGACTTCAGGTCGGTCGTTGCGAATTTGTTGTACTTTTTATAAAAACAGTGTTAATACAAGATGTATTAAATGAAAGGATCCATATAATATTTTGATTCCCTGCGTATGTGCTTTCATGAGGTCTGAAAAGTTCCGGATTTTTTTTCCATTGCTAGTTGGCACTTCTGCTAAATGACCATTGTTGTGTTCTAGTGTGAGGCATGCTGACAAAATAAGTTACTTCTCTGATTCAAGCCTTATGGAAATAGATACATCACGCTTATAGGTGAAGTTTTTACAATTTATAAGTATGAAATAAGGAAAGACATGTTACACTTAAAGAATGTGGCATCAATAGAAAATCTACAGATTTGACCTTAGTGTCGATTTTTGGCCCAATGTCTCAATTTATGGATTGTGAGAAGTAACTCATTTTGTGAGCACACCTCACAAGTTCTTTTTTTTTTTTTTTTTCTCAAACAATCCTACCCTTCTCCCCCCGGAGCGGTGCTACTGACTGTAGTGTCTTTAGGCCATTCTCAAAGGGGGGACATTTCTCGTTTAAGCACAGTAGAATTGTAAATGGGCTGATTCATGTCACGCTCATAACTGTGCCTGATCTTCAACAGGGAACTGCTGCTTTTTCTTTCCTAATCCTTACTATTGTCATTTCCTCTACTTCTTTTGTATGTTTGTCACTCTTTTGTGAACTGCTATTTCCGGGGTGCCTTGATAGTCGAAGCAGACCTTGTGCTTTTGAAGCTAGAGAGGTGAGCAGAATAAGTCTGATTCCCTGTAAAGACTTCTCTTTTGACACCCACCCCTTGGTGCTCATATGACCTTATGCAGTTGCGAGTGCCGTAAAACCCTCTACTATAAAAAAAAAATAAAAATAATAATATAGTCAGCACACCTCACAAGTGCTTTTTTTTACTCAAACAATCCTACCCCTCCCCCCAGACTTCAGTGTGACCATGATCTCGGAGGAGGGCAGTCCGCTGACCACGGGCAGTGTGGACTACATGAGTCTGAGGCTCTGGCGGAAAGAGCTGGGCACGAACCAGGGCACTCCGCCGAACAAGGTAGGCGCTGAAGTCATTGTGTGTCTGTACTTGTGTGTTTGTATGTGTGTACCTGTGTGTATTAAACATTAAGAAAAATAATAAATTACATTTTTATTGATCCCAGAAGGGCAATTTGGTTTACAATGGCAAACATACATACAATAAATACATAAGTAAATAATGTTGTGTTTGAATATGCACATGCACTCCTCTTTGTGTGTGTGTGTGTGTGTGTGTGTGTGTGTGTGTGTGTGTGTGTGTGTGTGGATGTATGTACCTGTGTGTGTGTGGATGTGTGTGTGGATGTATGTACCTGTGCATGTGTATATATATTCCTGTATGTATGAGTATTTTTGTGTGTAAACGGGCTTGTTTTCCTGTGAGTGTGCGCCTGTAGTTGTAAGGGTTATATGAGTCTGTAATACAATCTTCTCCCTCTGTATGTGTTCCTCAGGCCCTGTCCATAGCTCCAGAAGTCCCCACCCGCTCACAACAGGCCACGTATCAGTTCAGGTGAGACGTCTAGTGCTGACCGCACAATGTAATTAACAGGTAGTTGGCGGGTGCTCTGGTGTGGTTTGCTTCTCCTTTCCTATCAAACTTCTATTTTTTTTTATCTTCTCTCCTTTTTTTTGTGTTTGTTACTCTTTTGTAACACCTCTAATCTTCGGTATTTATATGACCTTGTTGTGTTGCAAGTGCGGTAAAACTATTACTAAAACAAAAAACACTGTACTTATGTGTGTGTATGTGCTAAGAAGTGCTATGAGAAGTACTAAGAGAAGAGAAAACAAAAGAAAAAAAAACACAAGCAGGGGTAGACCCAGAGCAACCTACTTAGGGAACCTAAACAAATGGGTAACAGGGAAAGATCAGGGAAACGTAGCTTTTTTAAGAGTATCCGAGCAAAAGAATGAATGGAGAACCACGATCGCCGATGTCTACTGCAGATCTGGCACTGGATGAATGAATGTGTTAGAATAAATGACGCCTTTCTCTACACTGGTGACGATGTTTAGTATTTAGAGCACAGACTGTGTAGTGTGTGAGTACATGCTAAGAAAAACACTGCCAATTTGTTAGGAGAGAGTGGATGGTTGGTGGGTACTCTGGTGTGGTTTGCTCCTTCTTTCCTATCAAACATCTTTTGTCTTTATCTCCCCTCCTTTTTTTTTGTGTGTGTGTTTGTTACATTCTTGTAATACCTCTAATCTTCAGCAATTATTTTATTGTGTTGCAAGTGCCGTAAAACTCTTACTAAAATTAGAAGAAAAAAATTCTTAGGAGAGAATGTCTAGTATTTAGACCATTGACTTTGTAATACCGCCTGTCTGTTGAGGTTAAAATGTCTAGTATTTAGACTGTAGAAAAATGCAGATTATTTAATGGTTGACTGTACAGTTGAAATTGTCCATTGTCGAGGAAACAAGTGGTTGTTTTAGACAAGTGGAAGTCTTAGACAGTGGTGGTATATATATATTTTTTGCAAAGTCTGGGGGGGGGGGGGATGTCTTACAATTATGCAGGCCTGATAGGGATATTTTTTATGGCAGGGAATATTTTTAATATTGGGATTTTAAAGAAAATTGTTATTTATCAGGAAGACTACCGTTAGTATGATGATGATGATGATGATATTATTGCTTTCATGATGGATCAGACAATGAGGCAACATGTCCTGACCTAGTTCTGTGTGTCTGTCTCTCCCCAGGAAATGCCCGGCCCCGACCACAGCCGCAGACTACAACCTCATGTTTCTGTATTGTGACGGCAGCTACCAGATACAGAGTCGTTTAGTGAGTCTTACCGCCTCTCCTGTTGTCTGCCGTGTCTAGCTGATTCTCCTGTGGCTTTGTAGTCTAGTGGTTAGGCTACCTGGCTCATATTTCCTAGATTGAGGGTTTGGGGGGGTGGGTGGGTTGGTTTTGGGCTCAGCTGGGTATGACATAATGTCTTTGGAAAAGACACTTTTACAAAAAATTTTCACTTTTGATTCGGTCCTGTGGGTGATGGATGTCAAATTTGGAGGCCATTTCAAGGCTCCTATAGTAAAAACCATCACAAGCATTTTGGTGGAAATCCCCAAAGAAACTGGGTGGTAAACATTGCCGATCTGCGTTTTGTGACGGGAGCAGAAGTTTGGTGTTTTTTGCCGATCGACGAGATGACGGCAAAGTGTTAATAACTTTACTGCAGTGTTGAAACCTATTTTGTTTCAATTTATATTTCTCTCTTCTGTTGTTGCCTGCCTCTGTCTGTCCATGTCTCTGTCTTTCTCTCTGTCTTCGAACTTTTCTGACTGTCTGTACTCTTTGCCTCGGGCCTGCTTCTTTGTCCGTTTCTTTAGCTGTCTTTCTCTCTGCCTTCCCGTTCGTGTCTTTTCCATCTGCCTGTCCTCTGGCTTGCCACTCTGTCTGTTTTGCTGTCAGTTTATCGATCTGTTTGCTTGTCTGCCTTCATTTTTCACGCTTTTCTATCTGATCTCTTTGGCCAAGTTCTCTGCAAGTGAAATGACCTATCGCTAGAAGTTAATCGCAAATGCTCTTATAAAATAACGATATTTGTTTTTTACTTGCTTTTGAAACTTTCCTGTGTTGCTTTAAACCAGAAATTTAAACACCCTGTCCCCACCCCCATAGGAAATTCACATATATGAAAACAAAGTGGCTGTTTTTTTTTGCTTTGATCTTCATTCTCCTCGTTGCATTTTAAGTTAATATCTTACCACCGTGACTGCCCTCCACCTGCCTATCCCTTAATGATTGTGTTGACAATGTGGTGATATTTCCTTCTTTCATCCCCCCCCCCCTACAGATCTCTTTGACCGTCCAGCCTGGGTCGCCCTCAGCTCTAGTCGTGCTTGACCGCTTGACCACAGCCACAGTGTCCAACACTCGCAGTGTGGCAAGCCGCACGCTGCTCAAGTCTCTCAAGCTGGAACTGCAGGTGGCTAGTTCATTTGTTTTGTTTTTTTCTGTTTTTCTTTCTTTTCCTCCTATATGGAACAGTCTATTATTCTCTTTCTTCTTTTCATATTTTCCCTTTTTCTCTGCTGCTCTTTCTCTCTCTTTTGTTGGTCTATCTCCTACTCTCTTTCTTCTTTCTTTCTCTTTCTTCCTCTTTTTCTCTCTCTCTCATTTCTCCCTCTCTCTCCTTCACTCTCTCACACACATTTGCACATGCACACACACACACACACACACACACACACACACACACACACACACACACACTCGCACACACACACGCATACATACATACACACACACACACACTCTCACCAACTCACACACAAATAAATACACACACACACCCATCCTTTACTGATACTCTGTTATCTTCTCTGACAGGATGAGTTTGGCAATTCTCTTGGTGAGGGTTACAACGGCCAGGTCAAGGTGGAGATCTGTGCCCCCAACGGCCATGACGACCTCCCGACCTTTGTGTCAGGGGTCACCAACACGCAGTTCCCTCTCACCCGGGGGCAGTGCACGCTACAGGTGAGGCCTCACCCCAAACATGCCGCTCAGTCGACTGTTGGACGGTAGTTAGTGGCTGATTCATAGTTGTGTTTTTTAGTTTTAGTAAGGTTTTTACGGCGCTCGCAACTGGGTTAGGTCATATGAGCAACGAGGGGTGGACATCAACAGAGAAGTCCAAACGGCAAATCAGGCTGTCTCTGCTCACCTCTGTAGCCTCAACAGCACAAAGTCTGCTTCGACTATCAAGGCAACCCGGAAATAACAGTTCACAAGAGAGTGACAAGCATATAAAAGAAGTAGAGGAAAAATAATGGTAGTAAGGATGAGGAGAGAAAAAGCAGCAGTTCCCCTATGTTGTTCCAGCACAGTATGAGCGTGACACTGATAAATCAGCCCATTTACAGTTCTACTGTGCATAAGAACATTTAATGTTAATTCCCTTTGGGAATGGTCTAAAGACACTTCAGTCAGTAGCATTGACCTGGGGGGTGTACATAATTGTATGGTGCATAAAGCATGGCTATACGTTAAACAAATACAATTATTATTATTACCTGTATGGGTATCTTTCAATACTGTAAGGTTATTACAAAGGTGGGATCTCTGAAGTGAATGCCCAATTTCAATACAATATAGATAGCTATTTAAGAGGTGGGATCCTTGAATTAAAAATTCATCTTCCTTAGGATTGAGCTAAGTGAGAGGAGAGCCATGAAAAGCCTCCACGCAACCCAAGTTTAACTCTTTATCTCCGGCAAGCTGCTCCCAGTGGCTCGTGGTCGGAACCACTGTGCCGGTGAGCTGCTGACAGCAGCTCGGGTGCATTCCTTTATGACGAGTTTGACATCAAATTACTTTTTGGGAATTGCAGAAATCAGTTCTATTTAATCAGGATCTCATTCATTAGACGAAGAACTATCAAAACAGGTTCACTGGTTTTTATGTTATTACCAGTAGTTTTGTGACGGTTTTGCCATTTTTAGATTTAGTACCAAAAACGGGCCCCGGCATAGTGGTTTTACAACCGTCGGAGATAAAGAGTTCAGAACATCCCTTTGGGGACTAGAACCAGACTCCCTTGGCACAATTCCCAGTGTGATAAGATATCAGATTTTAAACCATCTGTTGACTTTGTCAAGTCTAGTAAGTGACCAAACTCGGACTCTGTCCATAGTGGCCACCTGTCTATAACGACCACCTGTCATAACGGCAATTTTCCCCTGTGATCATGAGTGACCATTACTGTCAGGTTTGACTGCATAAACTTGAGTTTACTTCAGGGGTAGTCTGAACTGAACTGTGGTTCAAATAATATTTTTTTCCTAAAATTTTTTTTTTCAGAGTCTAGTTCTCCAGGAGAGCTCCCCGGGCAAGGACGGGTTTGAGTACCACCTGGCCTGTACCGTGACCTGTGCGGCCATCGCCAAGAACAGGCCTCTGCCTCCCCTACACATACCCTTCCTTTTTTACAATGGTGAGTACTTTTTTCGTGCTCTTTCACGTGTGCACATGTTCACATATATTCACTTACGCGAACTTGCACGCACGGGTGTGCACACACCCTCAAACATGCATACACATTTATGTGCATGCACTCACACACCTATACACACACACACACACACACACACACGCACTCACACGAACACTCTCACACACACGCACACACACGAACACTCTCAAACTCCCACTCGCATTTATACACTAATACACACAAACATGCACACATACACACACGCACACGAACACAGGCATATGCACACGCAGTCACGCATTCCCTCACACACATATGTGCACACAGACATGCAAACACAATATGCATTCAGGCCCATACACACATTAATCTTGTGTTTGTTGTGGTGCAGTCTGCTCTATCTACTTACGTAGTCGATTCATGGTCGTGAGATTAAATTTTGGATGGGTAAGCTTATTTTGTGGGTTTTTGATAGGTGCTCTGGTGTGGTCTGCTCCTTGTTACCTATCAAACGTCTTTCGTCTTTATCTCCCCTCCTTCTTTTTTTTGTTTGTTACTCTCTTGTAACGCCTCTATTCTTCGGCACTTATATGACCTTATTGTGTTGCAAGTGCCGTAAAATTCTTACTAAAACTAACTAAGCTTATTTTGTTACTCATTTTATCTTTCTGCTGGAAACTGTCCCACTCAGCATTGGCTAGCCCGAAGCTGCCCACCTCCAAATTGATCTAAATTGTGTTGATGGGGACTTAAAACGGTATCACTCGTGGTGATTTGGGGTGGTGGGGTGGTGGTGGGGTCTCTTTAGAATTTGGAAGTTGTTGTTCCCATTCGAGATACACAACACGGACATCCTAACTTTCTTTCAGAGGCCATTATGCAACTCTTATACTTCTTTTCTTTCCTCCTATTCTTTCTGTCTCTCTGTTTGTCTAGTTTGCTTTTTCCGTGCACCAGATGGCCTTTATTGTCACTCATTACTCATATTGAAATTCTAACTTTTAGAAATGAAAAAAACATAACAACAAAAAACTAACAAAGCCAACAACCAATTGTAGTAGGTCTGTGTTTATTCACAATTCAAATTGTTTGTGAAGTGCGAGTGAACATGACGCTTATCGTGAGGTGAGAGAAGAATCGGGGGAAAAGAGGATGGGATCGATTTTGAAAACAAAATTCTTGTCTATCCAAATTGGAACAACTATCTTGGAACTGCAGGCTCCTGGCAGTGAGGTTGTTTTTCCGCATGTTGTATGGGTCTGACATCTGTCATCCGGCATCCGTCATCCGGAACTATGTGCATGTCTGACGTCTTTCGTTTCCTGTGCTCTGTGTATGTCTAGCATCTGTCATGTGCGGTATGTACGTCTGGTATTGGCCACCCATCGTCTGACTTGTGCTGTATGTATGTATGTCATCTGTCATCCATCATCTTTCAAGTGTGCCGTGTGTGTATGTCTGGTCTGGCATCTATCATCCATTGTCTTTCATGTACTGTGTATGTATGTCATCTGTCGTCCGTGAAACCTCTACTAAAATTAAAACTGTCATCTGTCATCCGGCGTCTATCATCCTTTGTCTTTCATGTGTTGTGTATGTATTTCTGGCATCTGTCTTCCGGCATCTGTCATGTACCGTGTGCATGTCCGATACACTGCAGCAGCTGCTCCATAGACTTGCAGGCCTTGTACTTGCACTTTGCTTTGGTCAGGATGGCCACTTTGCTGCTCCGTGCCCAGCCACATATTTTGTGTTTTTGTGGGG